AACGTTGCGTCATAGTAGTCACGTGACTCACTGACGCAACAATATTTACATTGGTCAGCTGTTACTTTCAGTCAACAACAAAATAGACCAGCAAATAACATTTCAATTCTAACCTATTTAACCTGGATGCTTTATCTAATGCTAAAACATTTTTGTTGGTAGAAGAGACGTCACCTACTAAATTGAACAAAATAACCAGAAAAAAAAAAGAAAAGAAAAGCAATGCTAGCAGCCTTCTGGACCATGTTTTGCTGTCATGGCAGTGCGGACACTAAATAATCAAACATTTTGAATATTTCTACATGACTATAGAAAGTATAGAACCCATGATATGCTTTCGTATCACAGGGTCTTTCAGTTTATCACATCGTGACAAACTAACAGTTCCTTTATACCGACAATCATGGTCACTACTTTGCGTATCCAAAGAAACAACTCTTCTTACAACGAGAAAGAAGAAAAGTCAGCAACTTAACTTGTGGAAACGACTTAATAATTGTATTATTACTATTATGAATATCATTCTTTATAATTCCTTCCACACGAAACAATTTAAATTTTTTTCATACATTAGACCACATAAATATCATATTTAATCTTGCCGTTACATCGAATGAAAGGATTAATATATGCTAAAATAAAATATCAACTTATCTAATCAAACCATAAGTATGTTTTACGTTAGTTTAGTGCATATTGTAGATACAATCACACTAAACAAAGGTTAATTTTAAAACAAATAACAGTTATATCCTTGCATGCTGTTGATCCATAAATATTTTTGCATTCAAATATGGAATTTTTAAGATTTTATGATCCATCAAACAAATAAAATTAACAAGACTAAGCTCGTTAACAACAATGATAAAAGTAGTTTAATTATTATGTTTTATAATGTATTGAAATGTGTGTTATAGATATCTTACAATAATTGAAAAATATTAACTACAGGTATAAACAAAATAAGAATATTTTTGGTAGATAGAGCTGATGACGTGTTTAGTGTATTACACGACACGTGTAATAGAACTGTATTATTATTATTGTAGAAGGGGGTAGTTGTGGACGTTCGTTTTGGATGTATGTTGTATATATTTAATACTTCAGTTATAACGATTTTGTAAGTGAAAATATTTTTGGTTTTTAATTTGTTTTTTTGTTATTAGTAATTGAATGACTTATAATCACCGAGTTTAAACTTTACTTAATTATAGTTAAGACTTTGCAGACTAATACCAACAGTAATAGTAACACTCAATAGGCTACAGCAGTACAAGAAATTTGTCCAATTTACAAACAATCCTGAATACCTAAGTTACGTATTTCAATTCACGAGTCCTTCTATTATTAGTATTACTGATACTAGGCTGAGTATTACTATTAGTATTACTAATACTAGGCTGAGTATTACTACTAGATGTATAAGGTACCACATACCTAGACTTAGCTGACTCTAACACTAGTAATAATATCAAATATAATAATTAATAACACTATGCTACTGTAGAAACAGTCTAGGTCCACATATTAAAAATCGAGGTTTAGTGATGTCCAATCTGTTACATTAGTGTAGGTTATGTGTAGAGGTGTGAAAACATTGAAAATGTTCCCTGAAACAGTGAATATAGTATATGGCTAAGAGAACATTTAGTACTTCAAGATTTTCATTACACAGAAAAAATAAAAGTTTAAACACATCCTTTATTATTAAAGAGGACTTTAAGTTCTCTAAAACTCTTGTAAAGTGCAAGCCTCCACTACTGCCAAAGGCAACTTGTTCTAATAAGTCAATCACTTTGTTATAAAAATAGAAATGTCTTAAATGGGGCTTAGTGTGTCTTAAACTTTTCTCCTCTCATCTAATTATCCTCTTAAAGCACAAAGAAGTCAGAATCTTTATCATATTGAGAAGAAAATGAGATAGCAAATTCTACTTTTATTTTCTTATGGTTTTGTTTACCATTCATTTATTATTCCTTTTATTTAGTTCAGCCATGAATTTTTAGCTATATTAACACACTAACTCACCTTCTATCTAAGACACTTTGATTTAGAATATGTATATGTTATGAAACTGACAACAGCTTCCCTTAATTGTGATGTACAGATATTAATGGTGTGAACTATTATGTAGAATTATGATAATAGCTAGTCACGTGATATGTAACCTCATGGTCTAACCACTAAATAAAAAGCCTTCTTTGATCTGGAAAATTAGTTCATGAGATATAGTTCGAAAGGTTTATTATTTATCTGGTTCTTTTACTAATTCCTTAAATATTTCTTAAAATTAATTACATTGAGATTTATTTTGCATTGATTATTAACCTTTGTACCTAGTCCTAGCCAGCCAGGGTTTACTAAGTGTTTTTTTTTGTAACTGATAAAATTTGTGTTATAGTTGTTTGAAAGTTTTATTTTGGATTTGTGTTATATTTTAAAAAATAGTTTTTGCTTGACCTTGATTGTAGTGGCATTTTTAGTTTATTATACAACTTTTGCTTTCTCCCATCCAACACTTCACAATATAACTTAGAACGCTTTACCCAACTCTCATTATTAGGATTTCCTTAACTAAACTTTTGTGTGACCTATAAACGAAGCTTTTTGAAAGTCTATGTACAGCAAGTCCAAACCCTTTTCTTTCATAGAGAAAACAGGTATATCCTTGAAAAACATTACTGAGTCAAAGAAAGATTTACCATTGGTGAATCCATGTTGACTTTCATTTATGATAGCATATTTGATGAAATTATTTTGATTTATCAGACTAGAATTTTTCCCATTACTTGGTTTACTGAAAATGGAGGAGAGAGGCTTGTATATCTGGTATTTAATATTTTGTATGTTAACAGACAGTGGGCAGGTGCTTGAGAGCTGGAAAGTTGATAATGTTACTTTTGTTTGTAAAGGGGGTGGTAAGAAATGTCCAGGAAGTTAAAGGACAGTTGTTCTGAAGTGAGAAAAATTCTGTTGAAGCTTATAAGACTATATGGGGAGACAATAAGATAGAAGCTTCTGATTTCTTTGTGATATATTCTGAAAACAAAAGGGCGAATGGACACAAGTTAAATATTTGGAAAACATAGGTTAGGCTGTAGTTAAGATTGTTTTGTTTTTCTAACAGAGTGATTGGTTTAAGGAATGAATTACTATCAGGAGTAATTGAGCCAGCTCTCAACTAGACAAGTTTGAAAGAGGAATCAATAATTTGGTGGAAAATAATAGATAGATTTGTGTTTTTTACTTTTTCTCAAATGGGATGCACAGGGATAGACTTGAAGGACCAAGTAGCCTATATGTTATTAAAGACAAAGCAAAGAAAATAAGTATGAATACCACAGTTTTCTATTTTTCAACAAATCCACACAATTGCATTAAATTTATCATAATTGTCAATTATCTTGGATATGTTTAATTTGAAAATATTTAGCAAATGATATTTAATTATAGTAAGTACAAGATTATGCATTTGGTTTATCATAATTTGGTTCCAATACGATGATTCACCTTTGTGCTTGGTTCCAATACGACGATTCATCTTTGTGCTTGGTTCCAATACGATGATTCACCTTTGTGATTGGTTCCAGTACAACGATTCACCTTTGTGCTTGGTTCCAGTACAACGATTCACCTTTGTGCTTGGTTCCAATACAACGATTCACCTTTGTGCTTGGTTCCAATACGATGATTCACCTTTGTGCTTGGTTCCAATACGATGATTCACCTTTATGCTTGGTTCCAATATGACGATTCACCTTTGTGCACAGATTTATTATTTTCCTCTGATTTCACATTATTCTGCCTTAGAGATTTACATTCTACCAGCTTTGTGAAACTCCCACTTAAAATTCATGTGAAACGTGAATTTGCATTAGTGTATAATGATGTATGATGCAGCAAAACCCTCCATCGTTAGGAGTGTAACACAACTCTCTGTGCAAATGCTTCCTCTACATTTATGTGCAAAAATCCTCATTTTTTCCTCAGCACAGTCGTGCTAAGACGTGTTTGTTTTTGCTGAGACTTCTTGAAGTAATTTACTTCAACAACTTTGTATTTTCAACCTTTCTGCTTTTGTGATAAGCAGCGGAATTACAGACAAATTGGCTAAAAGTTCTTCAAAACAAGAAGAAAAACAACATTTTGGATCACATTGCCATGGAAACAGAATGTAAATAAAGGCATTTAAATGGAAAACTTTTTATTTTTCACACTTTTTATGGGTTTTTAATTTAGCTAAGTCTTTTTTTACACTAGGCATTTGAAGGTAAAGGGGTTAATAATTCAAAATATGCAAAAAAATATATTGTGATATTTTTTTACATTTAAAGGGTATGTGCTTCCCTAAAGGTCTATAATACTCACTGATGAGATGGGGTGTTCCACAAGATCAAGGGTTCCACATGGTATATTGCTTCGTAAATAAGGTCTGTTCCAGAATTGTGTATTTGTCTTCTAGAGGGAAGAGAATACTCACTACTTACTCTCCACTCAGTGGAAGTGGTCACACTCTGGAAGAAACCTCCATGGTCCACCACCCTTACGGCTAGGAACTGGTAAATGGCAAGGACTCACTCCACTAGAAGAGGGGGGAAGACAATGAAGTGGGGAGTCCAGAGGAACATACCTTAAGACTGTGCAATAAGTGACCACAAAAACCCTATCTTGAAAAGCAGGCCAGTTATTCAACTGGAACCAGAGGGATGGGAAGCAATCCCAACACTGCTTTACTCACGATAGTCCATGAGTTGGTAATAGCCACCTGGTTTTGACTGGATGAATCCACCTCATGCAGTTCACCTTTCTGACTGGCTTTCCCTCATCCTACTGCCACCTGGAAGTTGTTTCCTGGGTGGTCTGGTGTTGGATCAGTGCAGGAGGATCAGCCAACATAAGTCCTCGCACATGCAGTTGGTAGGGGCCCTCTATTTACCATAGACCGGAAGGCACATTCCAATGCCACCTGGTTTTGGACTGGAGTTGATCCACTAAATATAGTCTGACGGGACCTAGCCACTCTACACCATCAGGTGTGTTTGTTTAATGATTGGACATGTGTCTTTTCTACTTGAATTAGTGACACACATCTTTACAGTGGGCAAAGAGTATACCCTGGTACATGTATGGTGCAGTCTCCCACGAGTGTGCCATTATATCTTAGGGTATTGCACTCCAAACGTTCTCTTTGGACACCTCCTGAAGAGTACTCATCTAGGTAACTTTTGCACTAGTTCCTCAACTTTTTCAGTGTGGGATTCTAGCTGTCATGTGAGGGGACCTATGGTACTGTATTGGAAGTTAACATTTTCCAATACTGGAAATGCATTTCCAATAGATACTTCCCACTTCCAGTGCACCTTTTTTTTTGCTTAGTCTTGAAGTGAAGATTGTGCTCTGCAGTATAGAGGGAGTTAGCTGTGCTAGGAGGATGTGTCACACTCCTATTGGTGGAGGATTGTCAATTGCTCATTTGCGTGCTACAATGCAGCTGTACCATGGCCAGGTGGTTAGGGTGCTCGACTCGCAATCTGAGGGTCGCATGTTCGAATCCCCATCCCACTAAACATGCTCGCCCTTTCAGCCATGGAGGCATTAAAATGTGACGGTCAATCCCACTATGCGTTGGTAAAAGAGTAGCCCAAAAGTTGGCAGTGGGTGGTGATGACTAGCTACCCTCTCTCTAGTCTTACACTGCTAAATTAGGGATGGCTAGCCCAGATAGCCCTCATGTAGGTTTGCACAAAATTCATAACAAACAAACTGAAATGAACATTAAAAAATATGATTTTGATGAGTCGGTGTTTAACATACGAAAAACTGTGACAGAGTAGTAAACTTTGTCATAGACATTATAAGTGGCATACTTACATCAATATAATGAAATTTTGGTACATTTTTTAAAACTTACAAGCTTAGACCTTAACTTTTGAAGGTACTAGCAAATGGTTGTTAGTTATTTTTCCCAGTGGCAAATTTGGAACTGTTACTAGCACCAACACTGTTCTTCTCAAAAATTGCTTTTTATTATGTCATAATTACTTTATATTAAATGCTAATAAATCTATATATATTCCATATTGATCTGTGTAAAATCTTTGTCATGTTCTTTCTTTCAAATGCCAAAAATTCATTTTAATTACATGTAAAACTATTTTTTGTTTTAATTTTTCTGAAATGGAAAAAAGATACTTGATGTTGGTGAAAATTGGTGACAGCCATTCTATACTTAAAACTATTTTATTATTGAAAGTTACATTTGTGTTCTGAAATGTGTACTAGCAATTTTTCTAGTGCCTTCCAAATGTTAATAGTAAAACTGTAACATCAACCATCAATTACTAGTTTGCTAGCATTAATTTCAAGTTCTCACTTGGCAAATTGAAAAATCCTGAAAAAGATATTCAAGATCAGACAATGAACAAGTTGAAAATGTTCCACTTTGTAGCTAGCATTATGGAAACAAGAAACTGTTGAGTTTCAGGCTGTCCCAGCACACTCAACTCAAAGTAAGTAATTCTGGGTATTCATTTGAGAACTGTATGCAACCAGAAAAGAAAAGTTGCTTGAAAGAGCATAGAAATTGGATTGCTAAAATTATAATTGGCTTAAAAAAATTTACCTATAAACAGAAGTTTAAAAATTAGGAGCATGATACAAACTAGAATTGTCTTGATTCAATTTTTTAAAATTTAGATTTTTTTGACAGGAATGATATGATTGGGAATTATATAAGAACTTGGTTGTTAAAAGTAAGATGAGCAAAAATAATCACCAACTGTTCATTCTCAAAATATGTTCATATTTTTTGTTTCATATTACCTGTATAGGAAATTTTAAGAGGTTTAAAATGTGATAGAGAACTATCAGAAACTGTTGATGTGCTCTTTTGAGGTAGCTTCTAATCAGTTTGTGCTATATTAGTGTGATTTCATTAATTTGTAACTTACTTTTAGTCTGACACATATATGTAGTTAACTTATTTTTGACTTTAATAATTTAGGTTGAATGGTAGCTGTGGTTGGAAGGATGACATCACAGCACTGAATAGGCTATTTTCACTTTGCTCATTCTTGTGTTCTTATTTTTTCCTATTATAGGTCACTTTAATAGATTGGAAAAATGGTGAGAAGTCATATGAAACTTTTGCTGTTAGAAGTTCTGCTGGTCTATTTCTTCAGAAGTAAAACATTAGCAAGCCAAGAAATAAAATGTCTAGGTAAAAATTATTTAACTTAAACTTATTTAAGTATGGTGAAGAAATCTAAAGCAATTATAAGTTTAATTTTAATAGTCAAGGATATACATAGCAAACATTAGGCTATGTACAAAATTATTTCTATAAAGATAAAAGGTTTTACTTGAAAACTGTTTTAAATGTTCAGTTTTCAACTTTATATAATTACTTTTAAAAGTGTTAGAAGTCCAACACAAGAAGCAAAAACACCCAATGAAAGCGGCTTAACACATGGTTCCATCTTTTGATTACTAGAACTGCTTCAGATATTTGTAATAGGGGTATCTGCATGTTCGTAAAGGTATACTGAGGAATTAATTTTCAATTGTTGATGACATAAAGCACTACAGTCTTATTTACTTAAGATATTCTACTAACTACTGCTAAATTTACCTGTTGAGGTTAATTTTTATGCTGTAATAGTCTTTAATAGATCCCTGTACAAGTTAAGAAATTGTTCAGTTTGGATCATAAAAGCACTAGTAAATCAGGCTCTTACAATCTGTCCTTTTTAAAAGTCAGTTAACATTCATTTCTTTTCCATATTTTAAGTAATACAAATCATCTGTATAAGAGTCCATTGGAATGTCAAATTAATTAGCTGATGATCTAGTCCATTTAACATCTTGGAAAGAAGGGCACATTTTTGAGCAAGTGTTTCTATTTTTTTTGTTCAACCGTTGTAACAAAACGTGCATAAAAAAAGTGTTAATGAAGTTTGGGGTTCTACTTATTATTTTTCTTTTATGCCATTTTCAGTTTTTTTTGTAAATATACAGGAAAATAATATATATTTATTGTCTCAAATTATGGAAAACATTACATTTTAAAGGCACAAATTTGATACTAAATCTGATACTTACAATATTAAGATTATGGGTAATTAAACTTGTTACTAGAAATTTCCATAAATTATAGTGGCTAAATATTAAAAGTAATTGCAAGACATACTTACTTCTTTTCACACTTATAGCTATTACTCGACTACCAGGATTTCCTCCTTTTCCCATCTAAGCATTGGTCTGATTTTTTCTTGCTTTCTACAGTCTTTTATACCCCACTTAATTGCTCTTGCCAATATTTGTCTCATGACACTCGATCTACGTCAATGCACCCTCTGTCCTGGTGCTATATATAAGTAGCTCATTCAGATGATTTTATCAATTTCCAGTACTACGATTGTTCGGAGATACTTTGAATGTTCTCCGTGGTAACTTGTTGATTTTTGTAAAAAAAACAAACAAATTTCTGATTGGCAAGCCAATTTATGGTATGAATTCCCAGATTATTATTTCAGACACAGAGGCAAATCAGGTCCCTCCTATCCCACTTTTGATGTCTAGTGTTGACCAACAATATTTTTTTTGGGGGGGGGGGGAAGAGTAACTCTCTGTTGAGACTTTAAGTGATGTTATTCGTAGTGAGATGGAGACATATATCTGGTTCTGTGGTGTTCCTCCAGAGGTCCCTGAGGCTGAAATTGAGGGCGATCCTTGACCTTACAGAGAGAGTTTAGATTCACTTTTTCCTGCACCTTCTTTTAGTCTGTTGGCTTTTCATTCCCCCTGTGGGAATGTGATGAGTTTGTGGACTTGCAATGCTAGAATCTGGGTTTCAATTCACTTTAGTGGACACAAAAGATAGCTAGGCTGCACATTTTTGTTTATCCACCAACATGCTCCAAGTTGAACAAAAAAATTAGCTAATAAATGAACAGTTGCTGTAAAATTCTTATCAATGCTTTAAGTGTAGCTTCCAGTTTGGCCACCAATTTTGATTTCATTCCTTTAAATCACACACTGAATCCTTTGTTGGCCACACCTTTTTTTTCACACCTTAAGGTGTTTATAATTAAATATCATGACTTTTTGTCAATACACACCAAGAAACCACACCAGATAAGAAAGTAACACTCGATAGTAACAAAAATTAGCTTTAGGATTGTAGTTTTATTATTCGGAACAGACCTTTACAGCACCAGCCACATCCTTTAAAATATATGGTGGTAGTTTTTCATCTCTAAAACAGTGTTAATAACTTCTATATAGTAACACCACGGAATATATATTAACAGCTTCTTGACATTACCTGCATGTACATGGTACAACTGTATCAAGCATCATTAATTATGCTAATTGCTTAAGCTAATATCATGTGATACTAAAAGCTCTTTAATTAGGATAATTTAGTAAAATTTAGCTAATTTGTTTCCAAAAATTGGTAATGAATAATAACTGCCCACCTGTATGATTCTTTTAAAAACATGAGCTAGAAACTGCTAATCTAGTTTGCTTGGCCTAACCAATACTTATGTATCTGCATATACTTTCACCCTATAGTTTATCTGCATTAAATCAACTGTATTTAATCCAAAAGGCAAAAAACTTAAAAAGTGTCCACTTTTATTCTTAGGTGAAGCTGTAGTAAAAATGTTAGACTGATATCTCATTTGACTTTCTATGTAGGCATGCACAAAAATTTGGTCAAAACTGAACAGTTTTTGTTGAATAACTTTGCATGTGTAGCTTATATTTAGACCAAATTTGATACCTAATTGTAAGTTGTAAAGATCTATCTATGTAACAAATTTGAAAAAAAAATCCTAGAATTAAGTATGTTTTTCTATTTAATAAAGTTTGTGAAAAAAAGTTAAAGTTGGTGTGAAAAAAAAAAGGAAAAAATGCAATCAAAATTGGTGATTTGATATCTTGTGTATTTCTTAATGGATTGCTTTGAAATTCAGTATGTGAAGTAAGGATCCTGTAGTTTGGATAATGACAGTCTGAGCTACAGAAAGTGGAAAATCACTAAACTATCACTCCTGTTTGTAACACACACACACACACACACACACACACACACACACA